GTCTGGCTTAGGACAGCTCTTGGGCTCTCACAGGATTCTGCCTTGAGCCTACCTTATAGTACTTTCTATCACATCCCCACGGACTGGACAAGTGAAAGATTAAGGCCACTATATGTTTACTGGGAATGACTGTAAAAGCAAACAAACCTTGCCTGTAGAGATGAAATGTTTAGTCATTCCGGAGTCCTGGTGTGGCCAGAGCAGCCTGTTTACCAGTCTTCCCACACTGGTTGCTTTCAGGACTTTAGGAATCCTGGCGATTAAAGCTCCCTTAAGGTTGTTCCACCCACTTAGCAGGGAGATTCTTCCCATCAGCTATGGTTATTGACCACGGTTTTTGTGCCAAACTCTCTCCTAGGTTCTTCGGAGAACCCTGAAGGCGGTGGAAACACTCATTAGGCTGTCAGCTCTCTGCAGCAGTCCGCGGTCCAGTGAGAGAAGCAGCAAACGTACAAATAAACAGATGCCTGCAAGTGTTGCCGTCGGAATGCAAGGCAGGTCTTCTCTCTAGAGTGCGTTGCCCTTAGCGTCAGATGTGTTCTTCCGTTGTCAGGGGGCCGGATACCCGGATGTTTGGGGACTAAGTCTTCTTATTTTTTTTCCTGGTCCCAAAAAGTAGTAATCATAGCTTCCAATTAGCAAAGCAAACAACACAGCTATGACTGATAAATACCAATGATCCCCAACATCTGGAGTAAAGCTTGGACCTGGCAAAGCAGCCTATTCCAAATACATGGAGAAAATGCTCGATGTGGGAGCTAAGTGACCAGAATAGCAAATGAGGGGGAGAGGCTCTGAAGATAAGACTATGATTCTATGATCCGAAGTAGCCTTGTCAACTAATTAATCCATTTAATTAAGGGTCACATATTGAGTATCTCATCGTGGCCTATATCTTGGATGTCTAAAGAGTGACAAACAGGATGTGGGGAGAAGGCTCAGTGGGTAAACCACTTGCCATGCAAGCATGAAGATGTGAGTTCAAATCCCTAGAGCTCACCACTGGTTACTGTAGTGTGCATCTGTAATCTCAGTGTCTAAGGTGAGACTGTAGGCCAAGTCAGGAACTTGGCGGCCAGATAGCTCGGAGCACCTAGGGGTGAACAACAAAAAGAACCTGCTTCAAACAACGTGGGAGGCAAGAACTGACACTCTGGGCTGTCACTCACGATCACCAGACAGGTCCTTTCTCTTTTCACAACGGTGGAAGGTAATGCTTGCATGCAGGGCAATAACCTTGAACGTCAAAGCCTCTTTCCTCTACCTCCTGAGGGTTAAGACCACAGGTGTGTTCCATCCCACCCTGTATGTGTGTGTGTGTGTTGTTGGGGGCCAAATTCCTGCATGCTTCCTGCATGCTAGGCAACTGAGCTACCCTCCAGCCCTGCGCTTTTGGTTTTCATAGCCGACTACAAACAGTTGGTGGATCAACTGCTCCTAAGATTTCTGGGATATATGGATTTCGAGGGATTGTTCTGTTGTTAGATCTGAGTGCTGAGGGTCATAGAACTGAGGACCAAGATAGGCTCCTGCTGTTGCCTGGAATTCTGAAATTTGAGGCAGAGAGACTCTTAGGCGTGACCCTGAGGGGGCTGAGTGTCTGCAGCAAACTGTCTTGCTGATGCCCGGCCCACTTCCTGTTGCCTTGTCATTGCAGCGTACAGGTAGAGCTGACTTCAGACTTTCTCTGGCGGCTCGGTGCACTGGGATTTGATGTTCCCACCAGTGACTCGCTGCTGTACTGCAGTTGTCCTAGTCTATTCTCCATGACTGCAGGTGGTGCTCTCCATGCCACTGGCTGCACTCATTCACCCAGAGTGCCATGTGCATCACAAACACACTGCCATCCACTGACGTCTTTTCCGGTTTCACATCTGAATTTTCTCTCTGAGACGCTAGATAACTAGTCAGCTGCAGCACACAGAGTTTCGTGTCCGCATCTGCTTTGGGGGAAATCAGTCTTTGCAAACAATTATTCATCCATTAGTTACCCGAAAACTAACTAACCTGGGACTTGATGCATGTTTCAGGCAATCCTAGACACCTGGTGCATGACGACTCAACGAGTTGGGTTTCCTTTCTTTGCTGGATTAAATAAGATTTTTAAAAAGGTTCATCTATGGATGGATTTTCATATATTATTTTTCTTTCCATTTCTCTGTGTAACAGTCTTGACTGTCCTGGAATTCACTCTGTTGACCAGGCTGACCTCAAACTCACAGAGATCTGCCTGCCTCTACCTCCCCAGTGCTGGGATTAAAGGCGTGTGCCACCGTCGCCTGTCTGGATTTTCATATTTTGAGGGCTTGTCCACATACTTCTGCCAAACACAGCAGCTTCTCAAAATTGGTACATGTAAATCTGTAGGCTTGTCTTGGATACAATACAGCTAGATCTAGGAGTGGGTCTAATGAGGTACTCATTCACTCTGACTCAAATGGTTTGCTAAGGATTGTGCAGAGAAGGGTGGGTAAGGTTGATCTGAACATGCAGTGCTTATGCAGATGGTGACAAGATGTTCAACCTGGGAGGTTTTGGTGGATATGTCACGTGACAATGGAGACCTCATAGGAAGAAGAGAAAGCCATGAAAGAAGGGAACATAAGGAGGAGATCAGAGATACAGAAGCAGGAACAAGGAGCAGTGAGATTGCAGATACTGACAGCTCTAGATTCTGGACCTATAAACCTGTTGGTGAAAAGGTGGCAGGGTGACAGGGTTATTAAAGCTGAATCTAATTAATGCCAGGGGCCGTTTGTTTTCAGATCTCGGCTGATTCTACCATACATCCTGCTGGTTTGTGGGCTCCAACCTCTGGGTTCTTATTTTCTTATATATTTATCGTTATTAGAATAAATTTTTATGAATGAAGTCAAACTATGAGTGGATTTCCTTTCATCTAAAAAAACTAGCTAAGAGATGTAGACATGGTTTCTCAGTTTCATTAAATAAAGAAACAGGCCAACTCTGAGGGCACATGCTGGTAGGATTTGCTAAAGGAGTCAGAGGCAGGCAGATTATGAGTTCAAGGCCAGCCTGGGCTACACATTTTTTAAAGCTAAGCAGGGCTGGTGCACACTTTTAATCCTAGCACTCGAGAGGCAGGAAGATTTCTGGGTTTGAGGCTAGCCTGGTCTATAGAGTGAGTTCCAGGACAGCCAGGGCTACACAGAGAAACCCTGTCTCAAAAAACAAAACAAAAAACCCACCCCTGTAACCCCCCCAAACCAAAAAAAAAAAACCAGAGATTCAGTGAAGGAAGCCATTTTTAAATTGTTGCTGTTAAAATAAAAAACAAAACCAACCAACCAAAAAAACCCCTGTCTTTTGATTATACTTTTCCAAGGACACTAGGGTCTGAGAAGTGTGGCAGTCTTTCAAATCACATGTAGGTCTTGAACAATCAATCATAAAATCCTGACTATCTTGCTAACTTTGCAGTGGGCTGGTCCATATTTATTGATGCACTAGAATCTTCCTTTTTCTTTTCTGTTCACTTGTCCTGCTAGAGAGGCAGGCCCCAGGAGAGTCCATCTGAACCCTCAGAACCAGAAACTCAATGGTCAAATCATCCCAATTTGTTTTGATGGGCTCTTAGGGTCCCTACCCTGTGCTAAGAAACTATACTTATCTGCAACCTTAAATTATTTCTGTAGATCACCGTGTCAGCTTTTTTTTCTTGTTTTTGATGTGCATGGGTGTTTTGCCTGTGTGTATGTCTGTGTACCACTAGTATGTCTTTTGCCCATGGAGGTCAGAAGACAGCATTCTAGCTTTCTGATGCTGTAATAGGAGATGGTTGTGAGTCACCATGTGGGTGCTAGGACTTGAACCTGAGCCCTCTGAAAAAGCAGCCAGTGCTCTTAACTGAGGAGACATCTTTCCAGCCATGCTTATTTTTCTTTTTAAAAGAAAAAAAAAACGTGATGATTTAAACAGACCTCTCTGGTTAATGTTAATCAGGCTTCGTTTTGCTATTGATGATGTGCTTGTAGGTATGTGCTTTTTAGTGTTAGGCCCACTACATTCAGGGGTAAATGTGTAGGAACTTGCCCTGTAGAAGGGGGGGAAGCTTTTTTCTAGCTTTGCTCATTTCTGTGAATATTCTCATTATAGCTGATTCCATGTGACAGGCACAGCATCACCGGAGATGAAGTTGGGAAGAGAAGCAGAGTCAGGAAGAGACAAGAGCAATCCATTCTCTAATCCACGGCAGCCCCCTCTAAAGCATAATTGTTATACTTAAATGCTAGCTAAATGGACTGCACAGTGATACCAGGATTTAATTTTGGGGTAAGGGAGAATTTACCTTGAATGAAGGCTTTATTACCTCATGCTATCTTCTTAAATCTCAGTGACTTTGATGAAAGAAAAAAAAAACACAAAAGGATCTTAAATTGAGTCTGCATTTGCTTTCAATACAGCATTTATATATCACTCTGCATTATACACTGTGACAAATCAGAGTATTTAAAAACAGGCGATCTCAACATAGCCCTCTATGGCAATAAAATATTTTGCAAATCAACTTCATTGTTCCTCTCTGGACCTCATGAGGTAATAGATATGAGTTCCCCATTTTCAAAGACGAAGAAAACAAAGCACAAAGAGACCCTGCAACTTCCATATAGCGTGTTAATGGAGAAACTGGGACCATGCCTTGAGTCCTGGAATTTCCACCCACGGTTGATTAAGTTATGCTTTTTGAAATGTGAGTGATTTAAGATGATTTAAGTAGCTTTGGTCTGCAGGCTGGCTGCGCTCTCTATGGGCACATAGTGCCAGGCTGAGGATCACCGCGATGTTTGCCATGTCCCTCGCTGTCAGCTCTGGGCAGCCCATAGGCTCCGCTGAATGTGCCCTTAGAGGGTGGTTTTCAGCTATATTCCTGCAGCGATCCATTCCCACGGAACATAGCTGATTGGGTTGGCGGGGGGGATGCCAAATACTCGCACGGATCATCAGTAAACTGGCTCGTGACCTAGAACTGGACAGTTAAACTCCTCCCTAGGATTTGGAGTGACTAAAAAATTAGCGGAGGAGCTGAGAGGTAAAAGTCATATCACGCTATCCTGGCAAGTCTTAACGGACCGTGAACAAAATTAGGAGAGCCGAAACTACCAGCTAGCAGACTGCTTGGCTTAAAAACCAGGTAGAATAATTAGATAAGAAGGCATTGAGAGGGGAATAAATCAATGTTCATGAAAAGTAAACACACAGCATGGGAGACAGACCATGTAGCAAGGGGATGAAGAGACCAGCAGTTTCTTGAGGCTCTGGTGATTGGCAGCTTTCCAGCTCCCACCCATGAATGCATGCCCGGTTCAGCTGCGGGGAACAGGAACTCTGCATTAGTGGCTTCATCCAAAGGGAGTCTGTAGTCTTTACATGAGAAGGCTGCGGGCAGCTGAGGCCTGCAGCAGACAGTCACAGCATCCAGAGCCTCTCGCTTTCTACCTCACCAAGCCTTGAAGGTAGCCTTTGTCCCCATCTTTGTCCAATCATGACCTCCAGTATCGCATTTACTTTTCTGCCAGAAGAAAAAGAAAATGGTGACAAAACCGTTTTTATATCTAAGAATTAGGGATGCAAGCATTTTCCTACTGGCCTGAACGACGATAGGAACTCCAGGAAGCAAAAAGGTTACTGAATACAGCTTTCGTTCTCACTTTTTAGCTTAACTCGTTTTCCCTGCAAGGGTGAATTGCACGTTAGGTTAAGAAGTCAAAGAGGAGAAATTAGGTTAGCAATATGACTGCTAGTGGCTTCTGGTAGCCTTTGCTCTACATCTCCATCACCTGGATAACTTGAATGAAATATTGGGCTGAATTAGAGTCAGCCTGAGGTGATCAGTATATAGTTGCCCTAGGTGAAGTAATTTCAGATATTGGTCACCAGTTGCTGTTTCTCCCTTTGAGCAGATATAGCTGACCCACTTACATAAGTGCTATCATCTTTTTTTTAAAACTTAAGTGTAGTGGCATCTTGTTCTACCAATAGATTTGAGGTAAGGTCCTGAGGGTGTGGCTTTGGTATGTGGACAGGCTCCCTTGTGAGGAAGAGGAGGGGCCTCGCTCTGGCTCTTGGGTGGTGGTTGGAAGGTGGATGGCAGCATCTGTTGGCTGAGGGCAGAAGACCCCAGTGGTTCTCTGTCTTGCTTTGTCATTTGTGAGTGATTCCCCAATGAAGACCTGACTTCCCTTTGTCCGGGCTTTTGTGAACTCTATCGTAGTTGTCCATTTATGCGCATTGGTGTTTTGCTTGTTGAGGGTGTCAGCTCCCCTAGAACTTGAGTTACAGACAGTTGTGAGCTGCCACATGGGTTCTGGGAATTGAACCCAGGTCCTCTGGAAGGGCAGCCAATGCTTTTATACACAGAGCCATCTTCCCCACTCAAGCGCTATCATGTTTAACCCCCTCAGCATTAGTTGTTGATAGAAAAATGTGGAAATACAGCAAGTGATGCCAAACTAATTTTTTAACTAGCCTAAATTGCTATAAGGCCTTGCTTTAGTAGATATTTATTTAATAAACTCTCCTAATGCCAGTTTGAAAAGACTGTGGGGTTTAAGTAGACGGTAGTTGGGATAGGCAATATTCATGGATAGAGAATAGAGAGCTGGTTCAATATATTTACCAAGTCTACTGACAAAAGTTGACTCAATGAAGAAAAGGTCTTGAGGGGGAAACAATGGACTACCCTTGGCTTTGTCCTGACCAGGAAGAAAACATGGAAGCCCACTGACACAAAGAAGGAAGGATGACTGCTGGGATGGGTGATAAAATAAAATACATAGGTTGGAAACAACCAGCTGCACGTGTAACGCACAGCAAGGAGAAAGTCTGGCTGCAGAACAACTCAGGGAGAGAACGCAGAGATGTGGCGATAGCTCATTTGTACAATTACAGCCCGTCTGAGGTCAGAGAATGAAGCTTGCCACTAGCTAGCCACAGAGGTCTGGAGGTCCATACAGAGAGACAGGAAGTGAGGTAGCTGGGCAGGGAGAAGCAGGACATCACTCTCTTCTCTGCTGAGATGCTTAGGAGGTAAGGTGTGGCTTGCTCCTTCTCTTTGATCTCTCAGCATTCCCCTCTATATCTTACTCTGGCTTTTTATTGTCTATACCAATTAAGAACTTCATTTACACAGAAATAATGCATTCAATCCAAGTAAGGCGCTCGAACGCTCTCTTCTATTGGTGACTTAGTAAACTCATAACCTAGGTGGAAGCTGGTCTTTAACCGCCCAAACCCGTACAGGTGTAGCTGCATGTGGCTGGAGAAACACTACCACATGGGAAGATCTTATTTCAGATCCATGATCAAATTGGCCATGCCCAAAAGCCCATTCTCTATGGAGGGATACTCTCTCAGCCTAGGTCCTGCCCCAAATGATGTAACAGACTTTGATGATTCCCCCATGGGAGGCCTCACTCTACCTGAGGATTGGATGGAGGGGGTTGTTGGAGAGAATGGGAGGGTGGGAGGGAGAGGGAATTGGGATTGGTATGTAAAATAAGACTTTTAAATTTAAATGAAAATTATTTAAAAAAGAAACCAGGAAGTTTTTAGGTGCTCTGAAAAGTTATAAAATGATAATTATTTTCTTAATTTGTATTATCTTTCCTCTCCTTTGCAATGCATCATAAAATTTGATTCTGTGTTTTGCACATAATTGAAATTTTACACATTTTCACATTATTATAAAATAGGTAACGAGGACTTTGTTAATCCCTCCCATTTTTTTGTTTTGAAATCCAAACTCTCTGTGGAATTTCCTTCATTAAATTGATTTATTTATTAAATTAATGAACTTTTGGTGTCAGATCTAAAAAAAAATACTGCCACGCCCAGAACCATCTAAGTGCTCCTGGTGGCAGGGTACCTTTCTCTGTGACACTCTTGGATGCCTCTGTCCTACATTTCTCCCTTTCCCCAGGCCTCAGAACCTTCCTTATTCTTCTTCTCAGATGGTGCTCTGTTTTCTACACAACTGACAAATCCCAAAGCAACCAGAAAAAGTCCTGCACTGCCTCCTTCTTCTGCATCTCCCCATCTGAGCATCTCTTCCACATCTCCCCATCTCTGAGCATCTCCACTCGCAAACCCTGCCCTCTTCCTTGTCATCTGAGGTCCACACCTCTGCTTATGGCCCAGCACTCACCCTTTTGGTTGCTTATATGTTGCTTGGTCAGCCCTCCCCTTCCTCTCCCACACTGGCCGTTATTACCTCTCTATTGCACAGCTCCCATCAGGACAAAGACAATCTATCTGTGTTTCTGAACCCCTTGCAGCTGTGGAAGTGGTCTTCTTGTCACTCTTCTGAGGGTATTCCTCTCTCCTCAGATGCAATTCACAAGGGCTCTGCAGAAAGCCCGCTATAGACTGTTGCAGCCCTCTGGAGCATTTTCTCTGTGCAGTCCTGGGTGCTCCCCTCCAGAGTGCTGGGATTAAAGGGGTGTAGCACCACCACCTTTCCTTCTCATTCTATAAGTCACCTCCCTCCACAGGCTCCGAGTAGGAGCATGATAAATGTTTGTTGAGTGAAAGAATGGATGATATCATCAGAATCTCAAGTGCCAAGCAAGGAACACAGAGTTGCTGTGGACGTTATAGTGACAGGATCTAAAATTCTGAACACAAAATTCTGAACACGTACTATGTACTTTGTGTGTATTTTATTTGTTCATTTATTTTTAAAACCTTTTACTCTTTTGAGACAAATTCTTGCTATCTGGTCTTGGCTGGTCTGGTACTCACTACATAGACTAGGTTGATCTTGAATTCTTGACAATTCTCCTGCCCTGGCTCCCCACACCCAGCTTCATATACATTTTATTTGCTCTTCCCAATGATATTGTAAGGCAGGTACTATGTTTTGCTGATAAAAATTCAAGCAGGAAGGGAAGCCATGAGTTCATTTCATAGTTAATAACTGTAGAACAAGGATTCAAACCAAGCATCAGATCACAAGACTCATAACTCAATCATCTGACCAGGATCTGATGATCTGGAACAAAGTGGTTGGTACCAGAAACCATACTACTTGACCAAAGTCTGGAGGAAGCGACATTCTCCTCAGGGAAAGGAGCACTCATGATGGCTGACAATTTCCTAGTGTGTTAAGGGGCTGTGGAAGGAGGAGAAGACTTTAACACCACCGTGTGGTGATATGGACCCAAGGAGCACCAGAGGCCATGGATTGACCAGAAAGTCATGGATTGACCAGAAGGTCATGGACTGAAAGCTTGATCTCTGATGCAGTGGTGATCAGAGGTGGGCTCTTTGGGAGGTGACAGAATCCTGAGGACATGGACCTTGTCACATGTTCAAGTGTGTCACTGGCCACATTCATCCCAGAATAGCTATTCCAGAATAGTTGAGGTTTGTCTCAAAACAAAATCTTAAACTTACTTAGGACATTAAGAGATTTCTTTTTGGTAACTCAAAAAAAAAGGTCATTCTTGAGTGTGAACTTTGTAGATGACAAAGTCATGTTGCAATATCAAAAAGTTGGTCATGTCTGCTCTGATGAATTCATAGCTTAGTGGACTTCAGCAACATTCTCTTGAACCACCATGAGGTTACCTATCCTGTGCCATGAGTGAGGTAAAGCATTTCTGTACCCAAACGTACTACATTGCCACTGTCTTAAATACAACCCTGACCACGCACTGAAGATCCAGAAACAATGAGGCAAGATATCATTTTTCTCAGATAATTTTTGATAGAACCAGAGAGCAGAGTAACACACCATAGATGGTAAAATCCAGAGCTTACCATACAGGCAACACAAGAGAAGGAAATTGTAACCTGATGTGAAAAAGACTTTGAAACTATTAGAGATATACAAAATTAATATGGTCTACTAGTCAAAGTGACCACATTTTTTTGAGATATATCCCAAGCTGGTCTTGAATTTACTATGTTGAGGGTGGCCTTGAACTGATCCTCCTGCCTCTACCTTGTGAATGTTGGGATTATAGATGGTGCTACCACACTCTATGTGGTGCTGGGCATCAAAACCAGAGCTTCGTGAGTTCTAGGCAAGTATTCTGCTAACTGAGCTATATTCCTAGTGAACCCCAAGTATTCTGCTAACTGAGCTATATTCCTAGTGAACCCCAAGTATTCTGCTAACTGAGCTATATT